TTGAAACAGTAATGCACTTGTTTTTAAAAAATGTTGCAGTATTTTAAGCTTTTTTTAAGATTAAAACATTTCGGCATAGCTCTGTAGTGGATTTTTAAAGTTCAAACAAAACATTTTTATTTTTACTCAAGTGTAGCAAATTGTGCAACCTAGGACAATATTCATTGTTTTACAAGATGTTTTAGTAATTAATGAAATAATATGCCACAAACTTTGTACTACATCTTTATTTAAGCAGAAATGTATACATAGTTATTATATCATAGTTTATATGGTATAGCTGAATGCTTTATGTGATTCATATAAAGTAACTTGGTGCATTTCATGTTAGCTAACGAAAGTACCATTTAATTCTAAATGGCATTAATGTTTACCTCCATGAGGTAGTGTCAGACAAACCTCGGGTTCAAAAGATCAAGGTCTTACTTTGAATGTTATTTTAGAGCTTGTCTTTGCCATAACTTTAGCATCGAGCAATCTTACTTTAATTCAGCATAAATGTTTGTCTCAGTAAGACAGTGATGTTTCAATACTTTTAAGAGCAGTAGTTTTATTTTTTTCGTGTTACACAACTTGTCTTTTTAGCTCTCATAAGCCAAAGGCTTGAGCTTGGCTTTAATGACTGCTCAATATGCTTGTGTGTCAACAGTTTAAAAGAAATGATCTGCAAAACCACCAGGCAGATTTACATTAAACTTTACAGGAATGATTTTTGGGTGACCCACTTAAACCCACTCACAGGATCCCTTGTTTTATTAAGACTTATAAAGGGAAAAAAGTTTTAAAATGTTCTTGGCGAATTCTGCAATGCATAGGCTTTGATATTTGGTACATTGCAATGAATTGTAGTCTTCTACCAAATATTTGCCTTGCGTGAAAAGAGGCACTGCCCTGTTGTCATGTCAGCGATCACGGGTCATCATGACCCTCTTGTTGATTTATATGTTAAGTTGCTGTACTTGTTAATGTTTGTCCTGTATGTTTCATAACATTGTTAGCATTACTTGTTTTAGTTTAGTTTTAGCAAAATAGATGTTGTATATAAAGTTCTATCATCTCACAAATTTGCAACCCCCTGCCCATCACCAAACTTGCGACATATTTTTTATTTTTTAACTTTTTTTATTGGTTAAAAAATGATAGTTTTCACCAAACTTTTGCACAATGCTTTTGGTCATAATAGTTTTTTTTTCAAGATCAATGTCACACCATTGGGTGTAAATTGCCCCGCTTTGTGGAGCTCTTGTTATAATCATCACAACCTATAGGCAAAAGTACCTAAAACTGTCAAGACTTTTGTCTGAATATTCTTCTCTTTGTACTTGGAAATTAGTACATTTTTGGATCCGGTCCACATTTTATCAAAACTATTCAACGTAGGCTTTTGAAACTTTAAACACTTTTCATGATTTCAATCTATAGGCAAAAGTAAATAACTCTATTATTTCAACTGAATTTTAACTCTTTTTAAACTTGAAAACTGGTTTAGTTTTCGAACAAATCAATGTCTTGGAAGAACTTTATGACATGTAGCTTTGAAACACTTTTATAATGTCATGAATTCCATTTTTAAGCATTTGTCAATTATTTTGGCTGAATTGTTGCCCTTTTTTAATTGAAAATTGCCTGACCTGTTTGTCATATGTCTTTGACCTATGATCATGACTAAAAGTAAAGTAATTGCATTTTATAGTCTAAGTTTCATGCTTACGCACGTTTACCGACTTTACAACTATTACCCCTGGTCATCAGGCTACTAGTATCTATCTATCAATCTCCCTGGGAAGTCTTTTAACTCCGCTTAGTGCAGCCGACACTTTGGCGCAACGGATTTATACCACCCTAGCAGGTACCCATTTACACCTGGGTGAAGTGAAGCAATCGCAGGTAAATTTCTTGCTCAAGGAAATTAGAAGTGCCCCTAGTGGTGTTCGAACCCGGGACCTCTCGATCCCTAAGCGCGCGTCCTACCACTGGACTACTGCTCCTACTCCTACTCCTGCTCCTACATAAAAAGAATATGAATTTAGCTCAGTAATGGCCTTTTTTGACATAGAAATTGCTTTTGCATACCATTACATATTTTGTCTGGTAAATTGTTCGAATAATTATGGCTTTGAAACTTACTCAAATTAACATTTACAGTTACGTGTAATAGGTCTTACTTTTTCCATTTCATTGTCAAATTTGTTCTCAATTACAACATACAGCTGCTTTGATTTAAATATGATTTTTTTATACAATTTACAGATAGATATATGTCTTATGTTTACTTTTATTTTAAAAAGTTGATTTTGAAATTTGTTTTTTGTGTTTTACTAATTTTAAGTTGAAAGTTTTTTATAAATTCAATGTTTGTCAGAAGAAGTGACAACAAGTTCATTGAATAAAGTGTTTTTTAGAAAGTGCCTTAAAGTTTTCTTTTTGATAAGCCCACTATTTCACAGTAACTTGATTAACTCTGTGTCTAGCATCTGGTGTTCTAATACAAATGACTGGTACGCATCTAGGCAGCCTTTTCTTAAAGTATACAGTCCCAAATACTTAACAGGGCAAAAGACAATTACTTGTACTGTACATGTACGAGTGTATAATGATGTAAAGATCTGTCCGTGTTTGATAAGCAATGACCTTTAATTATGTGACAGTAGCCTGTTCTCGGATAATGTGGTAGTAATCTGTCTGGAGTAATATGGTTGCAATGTGAGGTAGTATAGTAAAGTGTCCTTGATAGAGTTTTAGTCCTTTTTAGCGCCAGTATTTTGCAGCCTTTTCCATGTGGTTGGGATCAGATTTTCTTATGTATGTAGCATGTTTTTAAAAAAAAACTACATGTACAAGGCAATATGCTCTCAAACTTGACAAATTTCTTCGTCATCATTGCATGTCGCAAGGCACTAGTAACATGATTAACTTATTAAATCATTAAAAAAAATCTTCTCTAAAATATTAAGGCCTACAGCTTAGATATTTGGTTTGCTGAATGTAGTGGAAGTTTACCACAGCTGTTCAAATAATGGCCCCAGTGTTAAAATGTATAGCTTATATTTATGCTTTACATTATTGCCAACTGAATGTTAATTATTTCATGTAAATAAAAGTAGAACTTCCAGTGCATTTAAGGTTTGGAGAGATTTTAATGTTCGGTTTTTATGTCAATTGATTTGTTTTGAAGAAAATGTCCACTGATCTATTTTTCTGCTAGAAATACTTGTTAAAACTTGGTTCATGTTTTTTATTGAAGTTTTTGTATGTCCCCAGTGCTTGTGTGTCCACAGTAGTGGATTGTATAAACTATAAAGGATGGTTAAAATATAAGTATTAATAATCGTGTTTAGGTTATGGCGTGGTTATTCCATTTGTATAAACAAATTAACAACATGGTTACCTAACCATGCAAAACTGGATGTTTAATGGTGGTAATATTACCTATCTATTAATGGATGTGGTCAAGGGATTAGAGTATATGACTTCTAATCCTGTTACCTCTCTGGCGTGGGTTAGATCCCCAGGAGATACTTTGGTAGTTAAGCGCGGAGGAAGGTAGTCTAGTACTGGTGTTACTCTCCAGGAACGATGGTAAGGAAACTACCCGCGTTGATGACTGAAATACTTTTGGGAAAAGGCGAAAAATGAGATAAAAAACAAAGGAAATACAGTTAAATTGAGATCACAAGTTTCTTGAACATTAATGTTATGTTGGTGTTGATTGTTAACATAATCTGGTTGTCCTGGTGATTGTATTTTACATATTTTAATGGAAAACCTCATACTTGTACTGTATAAAATCAACAATGTTCTAAAATTATTTTGCGGTATTGGTGCTTTGTTCCGTTGTGTTCGTCTTCAAAAAAGTGTGTCAATATTGTCTGCAGGAAATCTATATTGTTTTTGTAACTCAAACAACAAAATTAGTGCATTGGAGTGATTTATGCATGCATTTAAATGAAAGTGCAAAAATAACAGGTATATGACAGTGACAATACATGTACAACTATACAGTTTTTTAATAAAAGTGTACTAAATATCAAGAGCACCATTAACATGCACCATATTAGTATAATGTGACGGACCAGGAAAAACTCATAAACAATTATTTGAGTTTATCTGATATAATTACGCTTCAACATTTTAGCCTTTTCTTGTCCTGATCAAATTACAATTACTATAGTGATAAAGCTATACATATTAAGCATACTTGAGGCCCTGTGACGGTTATTTATTTACTAAACTGTACTGATACACAACGTTTTCGTGAACAATTAACTAACGATGAAATTGGCTTGTTTCCAGTGTCTGAAATTTGGTAATTAACTGTGGATAAATACTTGAGCTGTCAGTGAAGGACGAATTTAAAGATCATTAGTCTTTAGAGATCTTTTTAGGTATATATGTTGGCAAAATGAATTTTATGACTGTTAATTGAAATTTGTAGATCATAATGACCTACTTTTACATGCACATAACTTGGTGATATGAACAGATGAATACGGTGATAATAGAAATAATTATAAACTCCTTATTAAAAAAATAGACAAAAAGCATATTAATGAAAGTTTAACTTTCAGCTGTGGATGAACAGTCTTTTAAATAATTTAAAGAATATCATGGGGTTGAAACAACATTGATGCTTTATATACATGCATATATGAATTATTTCATAAAAGTGCTATGTTTTGAAAAGTAGTTTATTGTTTTGTCAATATTCGTAATATTCATTTATTGAATTAGCTTCCTACAAACTATTTCGCATATATTTGAACAATTGAAGTAAAAGTGAATTCGTTAAGTCTTTTAACAATGAAAAAGAGCTGTCCATGTCTTAAATAATAAATGTATTAAATTGATAAAGCGCATTTGAATGATTTCTAACTGAACTTCTGATTTTTGATATACCGTAGCAAAACATTGCTATTGATTAGATGGCTATGGTACATGGGTATATAAGAATGTTTGTATAAGCTAATCGCATTACTTGAAAAAAAAACGATAAATATTAACAAGAAGCATAGCTAGCTACAACTACATTATTTTTATATATTACATGTCATAGTGGAGGTTTGATTTACTAAAAAGACTACCATTGTATGAATTAATCTAAGTAGACCAAGAAATTTTAACATTTACTCAAACCGTTTAGTTAGTTAACTGGACAATCAAAATTGATCATGAAAGTACTTATCACAGGAGGTGCTGGATACATTGGTTCAGTATTGGTGCCGATGCTTTTAGACGAAGGACACGAGGTTACAGTATATGACAAACTGAACTGGGGAATACACTCATTACTGCATGTTGTTTACATGTCTAATCTAAGAATTATACAGGGTGACGTGACAAACCGAGATCATGTTGCTGAAGTTGTTTTAGGTAAAGACGCAATTATCCATCTCGCTGCAGTTGTTGGCGATCCTGCATGTGATTCAGACCCAGATGCTGCATTGTCAACAAACATTTTGGGAACACAAAACGTAGTTGATAGCATGACGAAAACACAAATTATGATATTTGCAAGTACAGGATCTTGCTATGGGTATATGGAAGGTGTCTGTACTGAGAAAAAAACACTACAACCTCTTTCTCTGTATGGAAAAAGTAAAGTTCGTGGCGAAGAAATAGTTCGGTCTGTTGGTGGCATATGTCTAAGATTCGCAACGTTATTTGGACTCTCCCCTAGGATGAGACTTGATCTTTCAATAAACAATTTAACTTTTACAGCTGTAATGGAAAATCATATCCGATTGTTAGAAGGTCAGTTCAGAAGGACATTCCTGCATGTTCGAGATGCTGCGGGTGCAATAATATTTGCTTTGGATAATGCAATAGTAATGTCGGGTAAAGCATTTAATATTGGAGATGACCAATTAAATATGACAAAGTTAGAAGTTGTACACATTATACAAGAGGTATTACCTGACTGCACTATTAGCACAATAAGTGATAAAACCGAAAATGACAAAAAGGATTATGAGGTGTCTTATGAGAAAATACATAAATTAGGTTTCCATCATAAAATTGAAGTTAAGGAAGGAATTCAAGAAATGCTTAAAGTGTTTCCTTTTCTATCATTAAAAGACAGCATCAAATATTCGAATATATAACGCTGTACATTAATGAAAATATAATATAAGAAAATAAAGAAATTAAAATATAAGAACCTTTTTGTTAAAAATATATATAATTTATCCTATGACTTTTTACAATTTTGTTGATTTTCTACTGATGTTTGAATGACCCAAAGGCGTAATAGGAAATGTACTTTATATTTCGGCACAATATAATCGCTGATTTTTAAGCTTATAAAGCTTATTTTTGGTCATCTGGAAACCAAAATTAGAACAGGGGTCGATATAAACCCCGTTTTATTTAACAAGTACACCTATTCCTTATTTTTTATGAAATTGATAAAATGCAGTTTTAGATAAAATGAAAAGAGTTCGGAAAACAAATTTTGTCATAGAAACCTTCAGAAGACAAGCTTTAAAGTTTTGAAATCTTCCTAAATGCGCATGTTGTATTTCTGAAAAGAAACAATTGCCAAATATTTGTAAGAATATAAGAATAAACGAATCTATAAAACTTTTCATATTAGCGATTGTTGTTCTGTTTTGTTTTTTTATTTAGTTCATGCTTGCATGTTGCAAAGTATTATATCATCTATACTGGTTACACTAACAGCTATTTGCAGGCAACATGTAAGCACTGCTTCAAAATCCAGGGTCACATGTTACTGTGTTGTCATGAAGCTTTAAATGGTAAAAGCCGTGTAAATCATGTTATAAAGAAATATAAGAAGCTTATTTATCATAGCGTATACTTAATAAGATGTAATTGGAATACATACTACTTTTATCCAGGTGCGAGCAAAAGAAATGACGTTTTCTATCAGAGATTCGAACCTTGAACTACAACCATTTACGGCCAGCATCAGCCCTTTTTACAACAGGTATAACAGAGTTGATTACAAATTTTACAGCGAGGCCACTTTCTCGGTTTTGTGAACGATTTTTGTGTTCGTTTAGCGGTAGTTTTATCGGGATTTTAGTTTTGATAAAGGCTACCAGTCTTTGATGTTTACACACATGTAGTTGCTGCTGCTAAATCCAAATCATCAAAATTGTCGAAACTAAATTTAATTTTTCATAGATTAGAAGTAGTTGTTTATTTTTTCAAATAAGTATTTTGTCGCATAATAATCGTATTAATATTGACATATTATTAATTGTAATTGTATTTTCTATTTTTTTTTGTGTGAAAACCCGTGTTTACAAAATGTTAACAAACGCCGCCATCTTGGAACGAAAAGTATGTTTTTCTTTATTTCTTTCTTTTATGGAAATGACTGAAAACCAGATATATGTATGAACACGCTCCACTTTTTTTACGTTCGTCCAGTATATGTTGCTTTCACAACTATTTTGTAAAACAAAAGTTAAAGCGAATTTGTAACTCGAAGCGGGTCAGAATTTTTATAAAGTTTTGTGGATATGACGCAGTTCATATTGCTTTATCCATCGATTTTGCCTTCAAAGCAATTATATACTCATTTCAGTTTTTACCATAAACTTCAAATATAATTTTGCATCACTTACTTAAATTTCATTAAAAAGGGTGTTTATTTTCCAAGAAAATAATGATTTGTACAAAATGATACGACACAGTTGAAAACAAAAAATGATACGACGCAGTTGTATTTTTATTGTAGGATGTATATTTGTTCAGCTATTAAATCCTGAGCTAAGAAAGCTAAATAAGCTATTTACGTCCAACAACATTTCTTGTTTGCGATTTTTTTATCATTAAAAATGCGCATAAGTTAACTTGTGTACAACATAGCAGAGGTCACGCAGAGGTCCCATGAAAAATGGAAAATATTACAAATATTATATTAAGGCTTCACTTTTGGTCGCATTTTAAGCACCTGTCATAAGCATGATTGTACAAATTCCGAAAACAGTGTATAAAATGCAAAATAAATTGAAACACGTGATCGCACACTCATATGACAACGTGCTCTAGTGATGCTTGAGCATGCTTGTAGATATGTTCTCGTGAGTTCAAAAATGGGGGTGGTTATCTTTTTCATTTGTAGTTTTGTGATACAAATTTTCAATATTCCAGGGTAACTTCTCCCAAGGCAACTTTTGTTTTAAGAAAAGAAAGAATTGCAAATTTTGCAAAAAGTCTCTTGCTATCGAAAGAGAAGTATGCACAAATAACATGCTTAACTTTGCTACTTTGAACAACAATCTCCGACAATTGACATTACATCGCCTGCAGGGGTCTTACAGATAAGCCAATCGGCGATCGTTATCAGTTTCACTCTCAGATGTCTGCGAAGTCTGCCATTTCCCTTAGACAAACTATTTGTATACGAAAATAGTGCAGCAGTATTAATATTGAAATTGTTTTAATTTTTGTAAAATTAAAGCTATTAAATCGGTATATCTATATTACCAAATATCATTACATATTGACAGATGGAGTCAGTAAGTTACTTTTACAAAAAAACTATCAGTTACTTTCTTTATATGAAGATAATAAGTTATATAGCAAGTAAGAAGGTACAACTGGCTATACCACAATGCATTAAAAAGGGCAAAACTTTTATATAAATACATGTACTCTATTCCTTCCTTCATTAAAATATTCTATTAACAATCATATTATGTATTATAAGATTCCAAAATGTCCAGTGTTTCGTTCGTTTATAACATAGTGTCATTAAGATGCTGCAGTAGAAAATAAGTGATTTTCGGAAGAATTAAATTACGTGAAAAGTGAAGACTCGGTTTGATTGAGTCTGTAAATGAGGGATGATGAAAATATGCAACATCCCTCACGCCCCTGGCTTTAACGGTACCTGCTTTTAACACTTATAAGTGCTGGAATCATTGATCCCGAAGGACCAGAAAAATATAACAACACTAAAGTGAAGTACGGGGCAATATTTTACAGCTGCCACACAGCACTTGACACCTTCTGTTGTGAAGTTAAAAAATTTGAAAAAAGTGAAATACCTCGGAAGCATTTATCACGACAAAATTACATGAAAATTGCAGACTTGAGTTTGCAGGATAATGAAAATGTGCAACAATCCACACGCCCTTTAACACCGGCTTGAGTGGTACTCAATTTCCAATACTTAAAAGTGCTTAAATCAATGATCCTGAAGGACAAGGAAAACATAACAACACTGAAGGAAAGTTCCTAATAATTTTCTTTTTCAAAAACATCATAAGTGTTGCTATTTCTAGCGATTTTCTATTGTCAAATTCAAAAACTATCCTTCTTACTTTTGGCTTGAATCTTATATGTTTATTTCATGTAACTTTTATCGTAAGTTCTCATATTTCACCTGTTTTTATTAAGTATTTCTGTTTTGTTTTATATTATTTATGACACTTAAACTCCGTCTTGTTCCTCATTTATTTTTGGCAGGAAATATTCACACGTTCACAAATGTTCAAGATTATCATGCTTTTCTTGTAATTATCAAGTTCTTTTGGCGCTAATTTTTGATTACTATATATTGATGTTATTGTGTTCTAGACAATTGTTGTTAAAAAGAGTTGTTAAAAGTTATTGCAAAAGTTGATGTTGGAGTTACTTAAATTGTGATTAAAAATTTGAAGGAAGGAGTTCTGTATTATAGGAAAAATTAAAAGTGAATATATGGATTTAAAGTGTTAGTATTTTTTTCAATATAGTTCAAAAGTGTTGAAATTTCGCTACAATAATATCCCTATGTATTTGTTCATTATTCGATTGTTTGCTTGAATAAATAATGATAGTATAACTTGCCGGGAGCGTGGGGGATGTTACTTTTTCACATACTCTTTTATACTTGTTATTAGTCTCAGTTAGACTGAGTATGGGTCAATGATTCTAACGCTTGGATGGTGAAGAAGACTGAATACTCCTTGACCCGGTGCAATGGACGTGAGAGATCTCTTACAAATAGACTCATCAACTGCGTTTGATATTTTCATTACACATTGTTGTCTTATTGCTTTTGGGGGTCACCCTTTTTCCAGATTTTCGTATTTATCGGCTTCATTTTATAAACAATCATACTTTCTTAGGGTATTCTTTCAGTTCATGAACGCTACAGACTGTTAAAATTGTAGGATATGTTAATCAAGTGAATGCAGTTATAATACAGTTATAAAAGAATTAAATTGTAATTCAATTGTACCTTCTCTAAAGCCAGAACAGCATCATTATACAAATAAAGTTAAGCAGGGATTTATATACGAATATTCGAAATACTACCGAGTATTCGAACATTGAAAAATAAATACGAATATCCGGGAGAAAAAAAAGAAGAAATGTTATGACTTTTATCACTTTCAAATTTCAACTAAGATCGTAAATTAAAACCCTTGCCCTCAACTTGAACAGGTGTTCATATGTTTGTAACACGCGTGTCAATAATGATCGCAAATTAACTGTGAAAAGTGTGTGCTATAGTTTATCAATTATTTTATTAATTATTTTGTCTTGGTCAAATTTTTAAGTAAGAATTGAATACATATATTCTAATGATTAAATATGTGGACAAATATTTGCAGTACATATTTTACATATTCTTCGATGTTTGTAAATTGTTTCAAAAGCATAATTATATACATACATAATAAGGCTGCATTTTAGTAAACTTTGTACAGTTTTTATTGCACTTTTAGCTAATTTTCCTTACCTTATTTGTAAAAGTTAATTTGATTGGTGCTTTCGGATTAATTCTATATTTTTCATTGGTCGACTTAATTGAAATCATTCGATTAGTTAAGAATTTGTTATGAGTTATTTTACAAATCAATTGTCACAATAGGGACTACGATGGGATACCAGGCCGACCACAATTGCTATCTAAAACAACCAACAACTCAGAACAGAAAATAAATACAAATTTATTTACAAGAAACGAATATTTATAAATGAAAAATGATTATATATGAAAAATCACTGCGCAAACAAACACTATCGACGTATTTCAGTCTATTTCTCCCGTAAAGTTTCTGTCATGATGTTTCAATAAAGTGGTGGCGTTGTTGAACGAAATTCGTCACAATGGCGGACGTCTTGTATAAAATCTTATCAAGCGTTACTGTACTTCCTACAGTGTAGGCACATTTTATGGGATCCTGAACAAGGGCATGCGTCACCCTTTAGCCATGGACATACGTGTGGAAGGCCCGTGTCATCTTCGGGTGTGTCCTCAAATAAGAAGCTACTAAGTATAAAACATGGTAAGTTCCATGATAATCAAAAATAAGGGTATAATAAAGTCCCTTGGAAAAGACTCGACCTGTTTCTGTTTTATTAGTTTGCTCACACGGGGAAGATTTAGTTCGTTCCCGTTTCTAAGATATTGATATAAATAAAAGGTGAAACGTGAAATCAGGTGTAACCAGGTGCAAACTTGTGAACGAGTTTACCAGTGTGTAATCACTGACGTATTGACGTCTTTACTAAAAGTTGGCTAAAAGTACGTCTATTGTTCAATAATGATCAAATACAC